GGCGGTAGGGGCGGGCGCGGTGGGTGGAGGCGCCGACAGCCCGAGTGTTCACACCGCACGCTGTTTTGGCGAGTGTCCAGACGCACGTACAAACATACAGCCGGCCTGGCTCTGCGGCCGGGGCCCCGGGCTGGCCGGCGTGCAAATGTTTTGCTCCTGTTGGGCCTAACGGTCCGAAGGGGAAAGAGGAGGAGGGGAGGGGAGGAGCCCCGCCGAGGGTAAAGTCTGCCCGCGTCCAGGACTTGGAGCGATCGCGCGCGGGGAAGGGGTGGTGGGCGTCTCCAGACTGGGTTCAGAGTCGGTTACAAGTTGGCCGGGTGATGGGGGTGGTGTCTGGGTCGAGCCCCGGGCTGCGGGGCGCGGAGGGGAGGGGCGCGGCAGGGCGCGGTGGGGTCAGTCCTCAGAGTCAGACGGCGGGACACACAGACGGGTAGGGGCGACGTCCTGGTGCATCGTTTTGTCAAGTCAGCCCCGTCGTCTGGCGTCTGCCGTGGCGGGGCGGGGCGGGGCGTGGCGTGGCAGGACACGGCGCGACGCGGCGGGAGAGGAGCCGAGGAGGAAGGGCAGGGCTGTGAGCGCAAGCGGGGCGCGGCGGGGCGCGGCGGGGCGGGGCGGCGGCGTCACTTTCCCCAGACTGGGACGTGCCGGGCCGATCACATGTCGGGGCGGGAGTCAATAAACCCCCGGGAGGAGCTCGCGAGCTCGCGTCACAGACGCGCCCCGCCCCGCCCCGCCCCGCCCCGCCGGCGTGGCTACCTGGCAATGCGATGCTGCTGAGATGCGATGCCAGTGGCGGCGGGGCGCGGCGGGGAGGGACACAAACAAACACACAGGGCAGCACTTCCGCGCCGCCGCTCGACGCCGCCCGGCCCGCGAGCGATGACCGCTAGAATGCAGACTGCATCCAGTTCCCTTGCGGGTGGCGGGAGCCAGGAGGGATCTCCTTTCAGCGCTTTCAGCCACCCAGGCCTCCCCCTCGCGCCGATGAGAGTCGCCCCCCCCCCCCCATACCCTCGCCGGGGCCGAGCATTGCATAAGGCCACAAAGGCGTCCCCGCCCGTCCTATCGTCACTTGTCTTGCGGTTGGACGGGCAGCCGAGAGGCCGGCGGGCCAGCCGCGAAACTAGGGCGGGAGTGTACCGCTCCACTCCGTCACCGCGCCCGCCCGGGACGCGCTCGGGGCGGGCGCGGGGCGGGAGCGGGGCGGGAGCCGGGCGCTGGCCCTGAGGAACATTCAGATTGATGGAGTCTAGTCTCACTTTACAGTCGTCGTAGGGGCGGGAGGAGGCGGGGCGGACCGGGGGCCGGGACACGGGACATCTCGGGGCCAGAGCTGGGGGGCACGTCGAGTCGAGTCCTGGACCGAGTCCGGTCGACCGGGTGCAACGCGAGTGCACCACGCGCGCCGCCCCGCGCCAACGCCCCTTGCACTGCGGCTCGCACACCGCGCCACGCGCGCCCTCATGCATGTAGAGCAGTGGGCCGGTGTGCCCGGCCGGGAGATAGGCTGATCCAATACAATGGACAATGCCAGGCCAGGGTGGCCCGGGTGGCCCCGGTGGGCCCTCGTCTCGTGGGCTCGTGGTCCCCGGGGGGCAGACCCTCCGCGCTCGACCCGTCTGCGGCTATCGGTCGTTGTCGTTCCCGTCCGCGTCACCTGGCCGGAGGCCGGCCACGCGCGCCGCCCGGGAGGCCACGGAGGCCTCACCCCGCGGTGCCGGGAGGTGCGCGTGCAGGGCGGACGACCCGCCGGCCTACGGCCCCACGGCGCTGGCTGTTTGCACGGCGGGGGTTGGGTTCGCCGTCACGGACTTTGGCGGAGGGCCGGAGGACACAGCCGCTTATTTGCATCGCCGAGATACCAGCAATCGCTCCCGAGTCTACCACTGTGTGCTCGCTCTCTTGGCACAGAGGGAGCGCCACCCGGGGAGGGTCAGCCGGTCGGCCGGGTTGCTGATGACACATTCCCGTCCTGTTCTGTTCAGCTGGACCGAACGTCCCGCAGAACGGGCCACCTGCTCGCCTCTGGTCACTAAGCTTCTCAAAACGTCGGGGCGTCGGGGGCTGCTGGTGTGGAGCAGTAGCGGCCCGCCCACGCCTATCTCGACCCGGCCCGGCCCGCCCTGGCCCGCAGCCAGCCGTGTAGTTTTAGGGCGGTGGCGGGCAGCACGGCGACCAGCGGCGGCGGAGGGTACTTTTCCATTCCAATCAACAGGAAGAGTTTACTTTCGGAAGGCAAGCTGGGCCGGGCTATTTGCGGGTCGTGCTGCACGGGGGCGTGCGTCACGGCGTGCACGGCCCGGCTGAGCCCCGGCTGTGCGCTGCACAAACCACAAACCGGAGTGTTTTCCCCCCTCTTCTGGCCGCTATCCAAAGTCTGGCCAGCGCCGCTGCTCCACTGAGCGGTGCGAAGGCGCGGGCGCGGGCGCTACGGGTCCTGGCGGTGGTGGCGTACGTGCAGCCCCTGGGGCACGGAGCGCGGCCGCGCGGGGACATGGCGGGGACGCGGCGCGCCCGAGCTGGGCTACCCTGTACATCAGGGGGTGCCCAGCAGATGGGTGACCCAAGAATCGGGGCGACGTAACTTGTGTACTTACCGCACACCGTCTGCTTTTCACTGGTCACAAGTCACAATGCACTTGCACTCCTTGCCCCGCGCACCGTACCGGTCTGCCATCCTAGGAATGAGATATAATTAGTGCAGTGTGACATCGAAAACAGAAGGTGTGCCTGACTTGACTTGAGTCGCCGAGCGCGCCCAGCTGCTGGGAACCCCAGGATTAACAGTTTAGTACTGCAATAAACTGAGTGTCTTTCCAGCACGCCGTATACGTGTGCTGTGCCGACTCAGGCGGACCACCCCCTATCACCAGCCCCCTCCTCTCTCCTCGAGGAAGCAAAAGAGCGAGCGTGCGTGTCAAGTTACGGCTCGTCTTTATCAGGGTGCAAAAGCGGTTGTCCACACTGGCGCCAGCTGCGCCAGCTCCGCCCCGGACAGTGTTGCCAACACAGAGCCGCCCGTCGGCCCGTCTGCCTGACCGAAGGAACTGACCAGCGCAACACGAGTCCGGTAGGGGCCGTGCGGCCCGCCTCGGGCTGGTGCCCCCGCGGGAGGGGTTGGCGGGGCGGGGCGCGGCAGGGCGGGGCGCGGCGGAGCATGCGGTATGTCTGGCTGCGACCTGTGACCCGGGCCGACCAGGACAGCGGCCTGAGCAGCCCGTTCGCTTATGGGTCCTTCTCGGTTCTCAGTAAGGCGGCGGCGGCGGCCGGTCTGCCGGTCAAGCCCGTCATAAATTATCCAGAAACGACAATCCGAGTGCGTCATCGCCAAACTTTGCGCCGAACGGAGTGACCCGTCTGGAATGTCTGACGGACGCCGCGGTGACGATAGAAAGTGGCGGACGAGTTCACACAAGAATCTGCGGAAAATAGCTTACTGTAAAATAATTAAAATAATTGTTAATAAAAAACGAACAAAAAAACACGACAGCAACGTAGTCCTCTTTTGATTAGCTCTATCCAGAGTATGGTAATAAGTTTGATGATCCCGGATTAGGAATAAAGACGCCACGCCACGTTTGCACAAACTGGTTTTCCGCTAGAAACAGTTACGCGTGTGAGCAAAAGAAGCCTCCAGATGAGGTCATGTTCCCAATGGTGTATAATAAGTCCTGGTGATTAATTGATCTTTTGTCTATTCCAGCATTGAGAGCCCCTCCGTGGAGAGGTAAGACTCCAGGTTTTTAACAGTGTGGTTGCTAATTAACACGTTGTCTGCGTTTTAATACGAGAATGTGTAGAGCATGGAAGTTCGAATGCAATCGCTGCAGACGGATGTGATTAATTTTAGTTGAAAAAAAATGAATGAAGTTAACTAAATGCAGCAAATTTAACCCTTTTCACTTAGAATGCATACGATTTGAGTATGTGCATGGCCGTAGCGTAGTATTAACACTGCATATGCATGTCGTATTACCACCTCCAGGCGAGGTGTGGTCCACCCGCGGCCCCGCACCGTGTCGTGTCCTGAGGTCCGCGCCAACTCTCGGAGACAGGTCTCCCGAGTCTGGTCCGCTTCATTGATTCGATAACATCTCGGAACATCTTCCCTGCGCCGGAAGCCAAGGCTTTACGGTTGTAATCTTGACCACGCGCCGGCCCCGGCCCCGGCGAGCGCGTGCGTTCACCCACTGGACAGAGAATTGAGCGGAGCAGAGCAGGGCGCGTGGACTGAACGCTGCTCGTATGCCTTTAAATATCTATAGATAAGGTCAACCTTTTTGTTACGCCACGTACATTCTTAATCTTGTACACAGTAAGACGGCAAAGATAAATAATTTCAGCGCCTCCCTTTTCAACAGCACCGCTCCATCCCCCCATTTTTTTCCGCATGTACATTGCTGTAGTTATTGCCTCACTGCTCACAGTCGCATGTGTGTGTAGGCACCTCGTTAACGTGGACATTCTTTTTTCTGTGTTCTCCAGGGACAGGGAGCTGCGTCTCCAGAACATCAAGAGCCAGGTTCTGAGCTACCTCGGCCTCTCGTCCCACAGCCAGCACCCCATGAGCAACATCTCGGCCTCGCAGCAGCAGCTCTCCCTGCTCCGCGTCGTCGGCCGCATGAACCTCCCCAACCTGCCGCCCCAGGACATCTTCGCCGAAAAAGTGCAGAGCCACTACCCGTCGTGTGAGTGTGCAAATCTTTACTGAAATTTGGTTTCGTGACCGTCGGGTGATGGCGCATCAGAGGAGAGCTCTGTGGGTGCTGCTACTGGCGTAGTACAAGTTGGCCCACCGACTCTGACTTTGCTTTGTACCAGGTGGCTGGCGGGAGCGGGGCGGGAGGGCGTAGTACAAGTTGGCCCACCGACTCTGACTTTGCTTTGTACCAGGTGGCTGATTAACCCCGCGCACTTCTGTAGTTAGACTGTACCGCACGCAGGAGTGCGGGTGGGCTTGCCTATCGCCCCTGTCCACGGCACCTAACGGGCCGGGCGAGTAGGCAACCCGCCCGCACTTGTGCGTGCCGTACAGTCTAACCACAGAAGTGCGCGGGGCTAATCAGCCACCTGGTAGTTTGACTGTACCGCAGGCGCGCGAGTGCGCCACTGACCGTAGCGCCTCGTGGGTAGGCAACCCGATCACACGCGTGCAATGCGGCACGGCATAGCCTCTCAGCCTCTCCACATCCAGCGCCGTGCTCACACTGTGCCTCTCCCTTGCCCCCACAGGCTCGCTGCCGCGCAACACGGACGAGACGCTGTGGTCCGGCGGCAGCGCCATGCACCTCCTGTTCGACCTGCCCAACCACCCGCCGCCCGCCGGCACCTCCGTCAACGTGGTGCAGGCCACGCTGCGCCTCTACAAGGTGTCGCAGAGCAACGCCACGCTCGCCGCCCCGGGACCGCTCTGCCTGCCCTCCGCGTCCACGGCCGCGACCCCCGGCGACGAGGACGCCCCCGCCGCCGACGCGCCGCTCGAGGCACCGCTCGAGACGCCCCTGGACCAGCTGAGCCACCAGCTCGAGGAGCAGGGCGGCGGCCCGCTGCAGACGCTGCTCGGCATGGCCACGGCCGATGACCGGCAGGTGCGCGTGTCGGTCTACTGGTACACGCGCTCCCTCAAGAAGAACAAGAACGGAGGTGAGCAGCCCTTATCGCCCGTCGCCTTATCACGGTCCCACAAGATCGCGCTCGATTATTTGTGATTACATTTGGCAGCCGCGTCAGCGAAGGGGTACCACGGTACTACTTTATCGCCCTCGTCAGTACAATGGGAGCGCTAGGGCACTTTCGTTATCAACTCTCTTTCGCTTTCCAAGCGTTTTCACCGGCCCCGTCGTTTCTAGACGTACTGGCCTACGACCTGCTGGGTATAAGCCGCGAGGTCGTCTGGTTTCGAATTGAGATATTACTTGTAGTAAAACGGTCAATGTTCTGAGCCCGTACCAGACCAGGTGGCTGAATAACTCCGTTTACGCTTGTACGCTTGAACCAAACCGCACCGTATGCACGCGTGCACAAAAACAATAGCCTCCTCCATTGATAAAACCTTTTGTGTACATGTGTGAACATAGTGACATTTCGTGTTCCGTCTGTTTGCAGTGGTGGTGGAGAAGCGCAAGCTGCTGGACTCGCGCATGCTGCCCGTGCACGGCTCGGCCTGGACCGAGTGGAACGTGCGCATGGCCGTCAAGGTGTGGCGCGAGTCGGGCCGCAACTTCGGGCTGGTCGTCGAGGTGGAGGACGAGGACGGCACCCTGCTCGACGCGCACCAGTTCTTCAACGGGATGAACTGCACGCAAGAGGCATGTGAGTGTCCGGCTAACCTCCTCCAAAGGCTTCTCTAACCCCACCCCGCACTCTCTCCACTCCTCTCTCCCGGTGCCCTCGGCGCATGCTCCACCCCCCCCCCTCCCCGAACCCCGCGCTCCCGCCCTGTGCTGCCTGTGTGTAGTCCGCCCTCCCGTGTGTTCGTCCTGTGTTGTCCTGTGATGCATGCGTTTCTATTATCATTGCCACTTTGCCACTGTGAGTTTGTCCGTGCTTTAACTCGGCCTTCTCCCGCAGCCACGGCCCGGCCCCTCCCCAGCTTCCTCCTCGACGCCGCCCGCCGCCTCTACAGCGGCAACGCCTCCGGCGGCCCCGGCGCCCGCGCCGGCTACCCCGCGGCCGGCACGTTCGCCCACGCTTTTAACCAGAATCTGTTCCCCGTAATCGACCTGTGCACCGTGGAGACGACGGACGGCAGCGGCGGCGCGCTGTACTCGTCGGGCTACGACACGGCGCCGCTGGCGGCCAGCAGGACGCAGCAGCAGCCCAAGCTGGCCAAGCACAGGGCGCACCCGGCGCACCCGCAGCCCGCCAAGCACCGCCAGGGCGACCGCCAGGGCGACCGGCCGCCGCACCACAAGCACCGCCACCAGCACCAGGACCACGACGACAGCCGCGAGCACGAGGAGCACCAGAGCGAGGAGCCACAGGCGAGGCGGTGGCCGCGGGCCAGGAGCGGCCCCCAGGGCGACGCGCAGGCCCAGGCCGACGACGAGGACATCCGCCAGCTCATCATCCCGCGCGGCATCGTCATGACGGCCAAGCACGTCCAGCACGTGACCAGGGATACGGCGCGCGCCAGGTAGGCCCCGGGACCGACCCTGGACCTGGAGTCCGACCCGACGCGCGGGTCCAGCTGGCGCCACAGACTGCTCCCAGCATGAATCAGTATTGCCTGTCGTTCCTTGTCTCCAGCATTCCAAAATGCTTACAGGACCCACCTGCTTGGATGTCCCTTGTAATAAGTACAAGTTGTTTTTAGTGCTGTTTTCTGTTGTATGTTTAGGTATTTATTTATGTAGCAGACCAAGTTTAATTAATTGTGCACTTAGGAACAACATAGTATTTAAGGCCATTTAAAAGACTGTTCAGTAGGTTGTTCCATAAGTGTATCTGCTGCGAATTCTGATAAATGTCTAGTCTTATCTCTTCACACTAGGGATAATGTAGTGTAATATACCTAGTTTGCATTTAAGATAAATTCCTTGAAAAACGTGCTGGAAACAGCATTCTTTTCATTGATACAAAGTACATCACCAAGAGGAACAAAATGCATCCAATCACCTGCTGTGGGTGCTACCACCCTGGTAGTCAGGTAACTCTAATCAGTGATTGCTTCTCCTCATACAAATACTAAGATTTATCTCTTTTGTTTTGTCAACCGAATTTTTAACATATTATTCTTTACCGAATGTTCCTGAAAAACTCTTATTTTGTTCCAAAAACTTTCTTTTTACAATATTTTGATCATTTCTCAAACTTTTACTTTTACTGAATGAAAGGAAGTGACAGTATTACAGGATTCAAACATGTCATTTTCATTAACATCACGCATTCCTTCGGAGAATTGTTATCTAATTCCTTCTATATAACTTTGATTGTTACCAAACAGACCTAATTAAGGGGACATATGATTTTCAATCAAACAGGAGTGGAATTTCAGTTGTTTTGTTTCATGAACTTAACTAAAAGGCATTAGCTTTGGGAGATTCATACCAAAACAGTTACAAAAGTAACACTGTGTCTGTCACTCCTGTTTGCTTGAAGACTCTAATTAATGTTATGTTTTCTGCTTTAAGTTAAGTCAGGCAATAGGATGTTAGTTCTCATCATTTAGTGTTTATGCTTCATTCATTAACTAAGCGCGTGCCATATGTACATATTCACAAATACAAGCCAGTTAGAATCTTGTGTCATTTACAGCTTCTATCCAAAAATTGCCATTAATTTATATTAAACGTGCTATTATATTTATGATAAGAATGACCACTCATATTGGTTTTATTTATTAACTATTGTAGGTATTAATTGGTCAGACAAGTACTGCAATTTCGTGGCTACTTAAGAAACACTATGTCATTTATCATAATACAGTCTAGCAAAAAATGTTCAAATTTTTCAATTGCTCCCTGCAGCAGTTTTGTGGCACTCGATCTGACCGATAGATTTCACATAAGCTTAGGTGACTTGTACCATGTTGAAAGCGGTAAATATTTAAGTATTACGCCGTCAAAAAAGGTGTCTGTGCAGATGGTAAGACCCATTACTGAGATGTAAATGCTGTACATTAATATACAAAACTCAATGTTTTTCTTAGTCTAAATGTAATTATTTTACCTTCCTACTTATCCCGACTCCTCACCGCCATATTTCACCAAAGCGTATACGATAGTTACATTTGTCAGGCAGGCACTCTGTACATTATAGCCTCACACATCACACATCTCCAGAACACGCGACTTGTTAGCCTCCCCACCAGCACCTACCCCCTTACACGACGCCCGGCGCGAACCAGCCGTGCAGGCACTTGGGCACCTGGCTGGGCGCCGTGAACTCGGTGCGGCCGAGCTCCACCATGGCCTGCGCGTCGACCACCAGCAGCCCGGCGCGTCGGTCGTCGTCGCCCCACACCAGGGCGCACAGCAGCACGCCGTCGTCCTCGGCCTAGCGGGGGGCACCACACGCCACGTGTCAGGTCAGGGGGAGGAGACCACCACCGGGGGAGACAGGGGCAGGCGGCCACGGGGTGACCGCGGGGGACTCACCTGGCCGTCGGGCCGCGGGATGAAGATGGGCTCGCTGGGGTAGAGGCCGGCCTCGCCCCACGTGGCGCAGCTGCCCGTCCACGTGTCCACCTTGATGAGCGTGCCGGGGTTGTCGGCGTCCACGTCCGCGGAGATGGCGTAGAAGAAGCGGTACGGCCTGGACGTGAGGCGCGGGTGTATCCGCGGCGTCTCGCAGCCCAGGTCGCACAGCGGCCGCGGCTGCACCCGGCCGCCGGCCAGCTGCTGGGCCCCCGCCGCCAGCGGCAGCACGAAGCGCAGCGGCCGGCCGCGGAACAGGCGCGCGTAGTCGGGGTTCTGCTGGGCGTCCTGCAGCGCCCGGGACAAACAAAGAGGGCGGACTTCAGAGAAACTCGCGCTTAAACGCTGAGGGCGTATCATGCACATGGTCAACTTCCGCAGGCCCCGAGATCGTGACGGGAGCTAGCCGTAGCTCCACATCACACGCAGATGCTCCCAGTAACCGGGCGCAACCTTCCTCTGCCTCTGTATCCCGGACACGAGCCGTCGCGCAGCGGTCGTCTGCGACCACCCACCTGGAGCGCGTCGATGTACATGCAGCTGATCATGGCGGGGTCCTTGTAGCAGCAGATGTCCACGACGACCTCGCCCGGCTCGGCGGGGCTGTCCTCGCCGGCCAGGGACGGCCGCTCGAAGCAGTTGATGACGTGAAGGAAGAAGAACGAGTCGGCCTCGAAGGTGTGCGTCCGCCGGCCCGTGTCGCGGCTCACCAGGTGCAGGAGGGTCTGCGGAGCGAGGAGGAGCAGGAGGTTCAGTCAGCGGGAGCGCAGCGCGCGCGGCCAGGTCCGCGGCGCGCGCCGGGGAGGCAGGCTGTGCCGAGAGCGGCTGTGCCAGCCGGCTGCCTACCCGCACGGGGCCACGGGCTGCAGGCTGATTCCGAAGAGACCTCAAGGGGCGCTGTCGTATGAGTGTGACAGGGACGGAGCTATACGGAAGGTGTTGGAGAGAGTTCTTCGGAATCAGTCGGCTGAAGCGCGCCATAGGCACGGACCACGGGCCCACGGGCGGGCACGAGTACGAGTAGGGGCAACGGACACGGGACAGAGGACACAGGTCACAGCCACAGCCAGAGGCTAAGGGACGCTGCACGCGAAGTACGGAGTAACTGCGAATGTGGACGTGGCAATCAGCCACTTGGGGCCCAGTACCCTCATGCTATGTGCGCGTTTGAAGGACTTTGCCTTCACAGCTGCCCACAGACAGACTCACTGACCGGGTGCTCCGGGAACCAGCGCAGGCTGGCGGCGAGGGGGTCCCCGCTGAGCTGGCCGCGCACCATGGCGGGCACGGACACGGACAGGGGCTGCTCCACGAGGACGAAGTGCGACGCCGTGGCCCCGAACGAGTGCATGTAGCCGGGGTGCAGCGGCCAGCGCGCCGCCACGCCGCCGCGCAGACGGCCGGCATCCACCGCGGCGAGCGGTGCGCCACCTGGGGGGAGGGGGGAGATGGGACAATCAATTTGTGTCGACATCGCGAACGGTAAACAGTAAAGCTTTACAGATCGATTGATTTTTATTTACAGAGTGCATGGCTAATGACCCCCCCCCCCTAAATTTTGACCTGATTGGATGGAGCGATTAAATCGATAATGGACGATTGACTAAGTAAGGGAGCGACAGAACCAACAAATCAGCTACGTAGTTTGGGAAGATTTGTAATAGGGTATTTCAGAGCTGGAGGTGAAGAAGTAAAATGGAAGAACAAAACGCACACTGCGCATGAGCAGACGCCCCCCACTCCTTCCCCTGCTTCCCCCACTCCGCGTCTGCGCATGAGCAGTGCGCGTTTTGATCTTCCATTTTACTTCTTCACCTCCAGCTCTGAAATACCCTATTGGTATTTAGCTGTTATAGCCAAAGAGTTCGTTAAAAGAACAAAGCTTTCACTGTAATGACTAAGCTGCTTTAAAACAAGAAGAGGGCAGCCCTGAGGAGGTGGCGTGGCGTAGCGCCGTCCCTAAACAAAGCAGAAGATGCGGCAGTCTAGCAGAGGTTATGTTGCATGTCATTTGATTTTCAATTGTATAGAATGGGCCTGTGCATCTAGCACCTTGGTACCACCTTCACCAATGTTTATTACGACAGCTGAGCAATTATCATAGAGTTAAAATTGTACCAATGTAAATATGTCCGTCCACTAACCTAGACAACGACACCGGTGGGTGGTGTGGAAAATTGTGTAAACTTACTTTTGCGGAGCCAAACTTTACAGAACCAGTTACTGACACAAAAATGCTACTCCGATATAATGTGGACACGATTTGTTTTCAAAAATTGTACAAACTTGGTGTATGATCACACACCCACTCGCGGCAAAACACTGCAGTATGGTCGCCTGCGCCTGCGTACTGCTTTGGTTAGGGACGGCGCTACGCCATGCCATCTCCTCAGCGCCACCTTCTTTTTGTTCCTCTTATGAAGCAGCTTCCTCTCTTGACAAACGGGTTGGCTCTTCCGGCGACAGCTTCGTTCAGGGCGACTAATTCTTGGCTACGACAACGAATTACTAATTGTCACATCAAATTTCGATTAGCAGCCCCCAAATTATACTAATTTGTCAGTTTATCCGACTGATTCCGTGCATTGCCAGTGCGATTGCTCGAGTTGAGACGCTTAGGCCTCGAGGCAACACGGCGCCGCGCAGGCCGGCAACCCATCGGGCCGGGGCGTAGGGCGCGCGGCTCAGCAGGCAGGCACCTACCGGGCTGCGGCGCGGGGAAGTGGATGAGCGAGTACTGCGGGCCCGTGGCGCTCAGGCTCATGCCCAGGTTGACGACGGAGCCGTCCTCCTGCACCAGCGGGTGCGACGTGTGGTTCACGATGCCCAGCGTGCTCGCCACGTTGACCCTCTCGAGCGTGCGCAGCGTCACGGGGTCCACGCGGGTCATGACGGGGCTCTCGGTGAAGGCGAAGAACTCGTCGCCCACCGGGTACACGGAGATCATGGCGTTGTCCGACATCACCTCTCCCGGACGGAACATGGCGGCGACCCTGCGGACGGAAGGATTGCACAACATGACGCCCCGCCGCAGACGCGACAAACGCTGTTCCTTTGGTAGAGGTCGGTCAACATGTGCACCAAACCGGCTGCTTGGACACATCAACACGCCCTTCGGGCCCGCTCACTTCTTGAAGATGGTCTGGCAGGGGTCGGGAGCCGCGCGGGTCCCGAACTCCGTGACGACGATGCGCCTGGCGGCCGCGTTGCGCCTCCACGTCTGCGAGCGCAGGAAGCGGCTCTGGTACGACACCTCGCCGTCAGCGATGCGGAAACTGCGGAGAGGTGGCTGGTTAATGAAGGATGACGACGCGGGACTCCCGAGAATCTCATGGGGACACTTATAGGGAGCCATGGTCGCCCCCAAGGCGTCCCGCACGAGATTTTCACCGTTCCCTGAACGGGTGTCATTTTGGACTGAGCTCGGGGCACTCGGGGCCGCCAGGGAGAGCCCACCCTCCTCCTACCTCTGCAGGAGGGCCGCGCCGTCGAACAGGTGCTGGAACTTATCCCTGCCGCACTCCAGGCTGCCCGGGCCGTTGCGCAGCAGAGTGCCCCGGATCCACCGCGGGATGCAACCTGCGGCACCAGGGGGGCGGGGGGTGAGGGCAGAGCACTACGAGGAGAAGGGTCCGCGAGTGGCGCTCGGGCGGGTTCGCTTACCGCTGGTCGCGCCACGGAGCGGCTGGCAGACCTCCTCCTTGCAGGACCTCAGCCAGATGTGGACGTGGCAGTTGGGGTAGAGGTCCTGGCCCGCCTCCAGCCTGGCCGCCACCTCCGGGTCCGCGTCGCGCCCCGCCGCCCGCTCCGCCGCCTCGTAGGCGCGCCGCCGGGCCTGCCCCTCGGCTGACATGGACAGGAGCCGCGCGGGGCGGGGGGTGAGAACCAGCAGAGCAGGCAAACAAACGACACTGCACCACAACCAATCTTTTGTGTCTATTCGCCACAGTAAGGCAGTGCCGAATAGCGCCAAGGCAACCCTTGCAACTCTAAACCAATTGCCTGGTGCTTGCTGCAACCCGCCTGCGGAAGGCCTGGGGTTGCCACCCTTCTGGTGTTACCTGGCGGTGGCCGGATGGGCCGCACGGCGCGCGCGGCCGCCGCCCTGGGTCGCGCCTTGGGCCTGCCCATGCACCCGCCCATGCTGACGATGTCGCTGGACGCGAGGCCACTGGACCTGACACTGCTAGAGTGACGGCGGCCGGCCCAGGACAGCGTCCACGCCGTCCCGCGCGTGGGCGGGGGGGACGGCGTCAAGGGCGACGCCAGAGGCGACGCGATGGAGGCGTAAGTATAGGCTACGTGCTGTACGGGCCGGTGCCAATTGGGGGAAGAGTTGGCCGCGTTACGTGAGCATCCTGTGAGGTTCCCACACGCACGCACACTCACTCACTCACTCACTCACTCACTCACTCACTCACTCACTCACTCACTCACTCACTCACTCACTCACTCACTCACTCGCTCACTCACTCACTCACTCACTCACTCACTCACTCACTCACTCACTC